CTCGAAGGTCGGTCGCTAGTTGCCATGAGGGTGCGTGGCCCACCCATTTGACGAGGTATTGCCATCTCCCATTATCCCCCTTGCCGTAGTAGTCGAGGATCTTTTCGAACTTCCTTTGCACTACATCTTCCTCCTCGTCAGTCCTTGTGACAGCCTTGCCGCGGTTCGCCCGTACAACTAACCAGGACTCTAACGCCATAGAATGATGCAAGATCTTGGCTATCACTCGTCTCTCGGCGTATTAGCTATCAGTAATAGACGGCAGCCCTAATCGCTTGTACATCTGAAGCTTATCCCCGAAGGGGCCGGTCTTAGTGTGGGCGAGGGCATCTCGCCTTCGAAGGTCTCGCACCAGCACTGAGGCTCCATTCTGAAGGAGAAACCGGGTGATTTCAAGACGGCCGGCGAGGACGGCTGTCATGAGCGGGGTGGTTCCGTCCACGTCGGGGGCTTCAATAATTTCGTCCGCGTGTCTTGGTGTATCTTGTGTCTGTGATTGGTCTTCGCGGCCCGGTGCTACGTCTTGTCCAGATCCTTATGAGCTCGGAAAACTGTTGCGATATCTCGAAGGCTGTGTCGCCGGCTCAAAGTCCAAGTATGCAGCTGCTAGTGTCCGGTACTTGGCATCATCTGTAGCGCGAGCGGGAGCTGTGACGTGCCCGAAACTCAACGTTACTATAGACCGCTCTTGTTTAGGGGGGCGGGGTGGGAGAAGGTACTGGGTGTAACAATAAGAAATTCCGAACTTACATGGATGATTTTAAACTTCTCTATCTCTGCCTCTTTCAATCCCTTCTTTGCGCTGTAGATAAAAGTATCTCTCGACCTGCCATGTGCTTTTTGGTCCAGCAGCCGGGCCTCTTTGGCACGATTATTAGGGTTGATGCCTGCTTTGCTTTCCTCGGCGGCTTGTTTTGAGACATGCAGGCCAGGACCTGAAGAGCCCGGGCGTGGTCAAGGGCGTGGTCGAGTCGAGGGCGCGCAATCGGGCGCGCAAGAGAGGGCACGCAAGAGAGGGATGAAAAATGATTGTGTAGATTTTTATTGCGTTATTGAGCGATTCAGCGGCTCCGAGATTGATGTGATTGAGACAGAGGCGGGCGCCTTCCTTCATGGTGACAGTTATGTATGGGCGGGGTCACGTGCATGTGGTCCGGGATGGACGGAAGGTCACTCCACGAAGAGGAAATGCTCCAACAACCCTAACCCTATCCTAACCTGGGCGAGGGCTGAAACCGGAGATGTGGCAGACCGGGTTGCCCGGAGTAAGTTCAGGACCGGGTTGATGAGCGAAGCCAAGGAATGGTGGCAGACGGAGTATGTGGGAAACCGTGAGAGCTTTCCCCCTGCTCTGACTCCGTAGCTGTAGGAGCTTTTTTTAGGATCAGACATTTACATATAAGGTTTTCGTTATGGTAGAGCATATGCTATTGATAATTTGCTTGAGCAGGCCTGTGGCAATGTTAGACTCCCCTCCAACTCTTCTCCCTTTCTAAGATACATAGACAGAAAGGCATCCCCCAACTATACCCTGACCAGTACACCGAAGTCGGCGGTCGTCGCACGGAGATGGAGCACATGAATCCAGGCCAAACTACCCCCCCGCTCCAGCCCAGCCTCCACAAGATTGTCCGTCGTAGGAGTCCAACAACCAAGCTGTTTCTCTTCATTCCACGACATATATACAGGCTGGTCGTTGTATTTCGCTTCGGCCCACGCAACGCAAAGCACCCCAGACTGAGCGCTATCTGTGTCACCAAAGGTCAGATTGTCGTAAAACTGGATGTCAATACAATCGCCGACGTTTCTGAGGTGGGCTACTGTAGCGGCAATCAAGCGGTCAATCCGCACCTTCCTCTCCTCGTCGTCTCGCAGGCTGTATTCTTCATCTTTGGCGACCTTTCTAGGCAGCATGCTGATGCCGTCAAACATGGTCACCTCCGGCACCCAACGAGCGATATAGGCCACCGACCAGAAGCTGTTGCCGTGGTGGTAAAATAAGAACACCTTATCGACGTCCAGGACTGGGAATGTCGTTGTATCCATGCCCGGCGTATCGAGAAGCGCAAAGTAGACACTGTTGCCGCGGTACCGGTGATTCAGGCATGCGACCATGAGCGCCATAGTCTCGGCGTCGCAGCACGTCGGGTTATCAGGGCTAAGCTGCCGCATTGCCTTGTCCTTGATATGCTCGAACCTCTCGCGGTCCATCTGGAGAGAACCGGTGTTAGCGTTACTAGATGAGATGTGCAATGTACACTTACGTTAGCCAGAGGTGCTGCCATTGGGTCTCGTGCCTAGTACGGTCGAGTGATGGGAATTCGAGGTAGCCTAAAAGGAAATGGGCCGGATTTACGTTCTGCAGTGCAATGCAGTGCAATGCGTAATAGAAATGATTTCCGTAGGGCAGTCGGATGGTGTCACGAGCACAGCCCGCTCCTCGTGTAGGGTTAGGGTTAGTGGTATTGGTGTACGACACGGTTGGTTGTTTCGACGGTGGGAGTGCTGAAAATAATCCGGGTGGCCGTGATGGTCACTTTGCGAATCAGCGCGCAATAATCCGGAACATGCAGCGTTGTCGGGCAGTAAGTCAAAGCATCGCGGTCTGTGAAAAGCTTCAGAGGGTCGTAAATGGGCTGTCCTTCGTCTGCGGCATACTCGAGAAGTAGTCGTGCCCGGTTGAGGCCGAGGTTATCTGGAGTTGACAATTCCGCTAGTTTTCGTGTAGGGTTAGGGTTAGCCAGGGTTACAGCCCTGAGTGGGGCTTGGCAGTGGGGCCGTGCACCTGGGTCTGTGCACGACCACAGATTGGGGATATTCCCTGGAGGGCGATCGCCCTCCATTTCTGGTTGCTCGTGCAACCTCACAATATACTGCATACCCCCAACTACGGCCTGCACCGTGATAGTAGGTTGCACCTCCAGTCCGTGTGTACAGCGAGTAAGCGCAGGAAAGGAGCGTCAGTTTGAGCGACATTTGTAGCGACAATCAAGGCCGAAATTGGCAAGTTTGCAGCTGGGCCGCGCGGGCCACTGCATTACATTACAAGGACAGGCACTCGAGGTTGCCAAGAACGCCAAGATAGCAAGCAACGACCAGCCCTCGGGCAAGAAACGCGACACGGATTGCAGGGGGAGGCTTTCCCTAACCTGAAGAATTTTTTCGAGAACCTCCGTCTGGAGATCATAAACGACGAAGCCACGGCCAAGGCGGTCGTGGAGCTGCAGAAAGACGAGGGCGCCCGAGCGTTCCTCAAGATCATCGACGACGTGGTCAAGGTGTTGAATACACCAAATCACACAGGGGTCTCAATATCACAAAAGGGGTAGGCAAAACATCGTGTTGATTGAATTATCTATGTTTTGGAGGCCACCTCGCGAAGGTGAAAATACTGCATCACGTTCCCTACTTTTCCGGGCTGTGCAGTCCCTATACCTACGCGGTGTGGTCGGATCCGAGGGACCGACACCAGGCGTGAATTCAACACACCCCCTCAGGCGAGGCCTGCAAAGGCGTTGCCTGGCGACCCTGATGTCCTTTTCCTTGGTGTTTTGGCACCGTTTGGCGTTTCTCCTGCGATATCTCTCCCCAAGGATCCTCCCCAGTGAAAGGATTCGGGTTATCAGCCCTCTTCGCCTTCTTCCCAATGTGACGCCCGCCAACAAGGTCCCCAATGAAGGGATTGGGGTTGTCAGTCTCCATGGCGTCGGCCGCCGCCACGGGCACCATTTCCTATTGGTGGTCCCAATGGCAGCAGGTTGTTATCTTCGTCGGTTTCCTCTCCCAGTGCATACGCATCTCGATCGAACCCAGAGTTCCCAGACCCCGCCCCGTAGGATGCGAGGCATCCGGACCTCCCCTGATGGGAGGTCGTCGTCCGGTCGTTGCCGGGGACCCCAGGGCGGCGAACCTGCAGCAAGGTTTGGCCCTCCCCACCCCAGGGTCCCCGATGATAGTGAGGTATCCGATAGTTGTTGGAAGCAGAAGATGTAGTAGGGTCTTGTTGTAATACGCCCAGCCGCGATATGAGGCATCCGGCTGTAACCGGAGTGTAATACGCCCAGCCGCGGCCGGGTCCCCAGGGGCCCTTAGGCCGCGGGTTAGTCCCTGATGACAACGAGGGTCATGGTTCGGACAACGGGGCCGACCAGGTGGTGGGTAAACCCACCACCTACCCATTACCGCCGTCGTCACCACGACCCCTCCCGTCGGGGACCCTCCATGGCGGCCTTCGCCCTTCGCGGCGGCGCGCCGGGTGTCGTGGGATAGCAGATGGGCCGGTCCTACGGCTAGGAGATGGGCTGTGGGACCGGCTTGTGCGGCTGTGGTCGCGAGGACTGTGTTTTCTTGAACACATCGTAGGTCGATGGTGGTTTCGACGTGTTTGTACTTAGGCCCGGTGAAGGCCCTCTGCGGTGGTTATATGGCTTCCTTGTTTTTCGTTATCTGTTCAAGGGCTTTTTCTTTTGCCTTTCTTTCGTCGAGGTAGGTGGTGATATCCATAAGGCCGACCATCTCGCGGAACGTTACGAAGTCTGGTCCAAGCAGGGCTTTCGTCATTCCATCTGCCATCATCTTCTTGCTTTCGGTGTAGTAGGGCTTGATCCTCCCTGACTCGGCCTCTTGGCGAAGCCAGTGGTTGTGGATGTCGACGTGTCTGAGCTTGGTGCGGGGGGTCGCGACTTCGTTCGTAATCAGGCGGATCGTTTGTTTATTGTCACACTGGATGACGAGGGTCTCGTTTTGTAACTGGACGCCCAGTTCCTTGATCAGAAAGCTCATGAACATGGCCTCCTTGGCGCCCCGTTAGTCAAGTGGTTGGACTTCGGGCCCGAGGAGAACTCGTGGCAACTAGCGAAGAACTTGATTAACTGCCCGGAGAAGCTACAGGATTTCCATCGCCAGTACCCTGATCGCCCTGTACATCCGGAACACGCCCGCCGAAGCCGTCGGCAGAAGGCGTCGAGAAAGGACTAGGACCAATGTCAGCAAAAAAGAACAGGCTACAATGGAAATTGAACCCATACCTTGTACAATTGGGGCCCTGCGGACCGTATATCCGAAGAAGCCCTATGGAACGTACATGCGCTACCACTACGCTATACGGCCATCTCAGCTGTTGAGAAAAGGAACAAAACACTCACTTGAAAAAGGAAGAGTCGTAAGGACTAACGACACGAAGGAATCAGCAACCAACAAAAAAAAAAAAGTCAGTCGCGGTAGGAATCGAACCCACGACCTAGTGCAAACGCTCCAGAGATCCCGAAATCGAGAATTCGAGATCTCTAGAGCATGGAACGTACACGCGCTACCACTGCGCTACGCAACCGTTTCATTTATTAGAATGAGAGGAAGGGACACTCACTTAAGAAGAGCCGGATCTAGTGGACTTATAGGAGGAAGGAGGGACCCAAGACTTGGGGTAGGAGCCGCGGTCTAAGGAGGCACTTAAGAAGAGGAGGATTCTTCCTCCAACACCTCCGACTCACGACGATAAGCGGTCAACGCTTCCACTTCAAGCGTACGAGACTGACGCTCCAGTCGAAAAAGCTTGCCCAAGGTCTCCTGACGCTCACGGTCCAGTTGGCGTTTGCGTTCAACAAAGAACAGGACTAAGAGGCAAGTCAGATTCGAGAGGAAAGGAAAGAGCAGGAGGAAACTCACGGTCCACACCATAGACGTCGCAACGGGCACGATTAGCCACAAGACACGAACGACACCTGGAAGAGTTTTCCGATACCAGGCAGGATAACTTGTTCTTACGACAATACGAACAAGGCGACATGACGGAACCAAATTCTTCTATAAAGACGACTTAGGCGCGGCGACGGTCAGTGCTGGTCAATTTACGAACGCGCGACATGGTGGGAAGCCGGACAGAGGACAGGGTGATACTTACGAGAAAAAGAAGGGAAACCCCAGGGGACGGACGAAGGGGAATTGAAGAATCTTCAGGGCGAAGACCTCGGAGGGGAGGCATCGTATCACGAACCACCTGCAGAAGCGAACCACCACCCGCAGTGTAGAGCAGCGATGACCCAATCAATGGGGCGGGGAGCGTGGGCCAAGTGGCCCATGCTGCGAAGCGTCCGGCGCTCCATAGAGGGAGCCTAGGCCCCGACCAAGGGAAGGGAGCCTACGAGACAGGGGTCTGTGGCGCACGGGCCATTTGCCGGCCGCTCCGTGTGCTCTGTCGGGCGTCGAGCCGTCACAAGTTACAACCATGCCCGCCGAACATCACCGAAGCGCAGTGGCGCGAGTTTTTCCAAGCATCAGAAATCGCGGAACGCTTTAAGGCGATCCTGGAGAAAGTCGGGGCACTATCGAAGCAAGCACAGGACCGTTACGAGGAGGGCGCGATGGTAACGGAAGGAACCTAGCGGTAGATAGGATCTTCTTAACTTGTTATTCTGTAAGTTCAATGTACCGCTACTTTTTTTAGATGCTGGACTAACCAGTAGGCAGGAAAAGAAATTAGCTACGTTTTAGGTTGTCGCTGCTCTACAGGCAAACCTATAGATAATAGATCTTACTCGGGTGGCCGAGCTAAAGGATATCAGGTTGCCGCTGGTATAGCGGGAGGCTATCATACATTTAGATCATTCTCCCTACGATAACGTACGTTCTCCCCCCCCCTCTTCCCCATTACCATGCGAATTCCAAGATGGTTTTGTAACCTAACTGCTTCCAACTGGAGATGGTGCTAGGAGTTTCTGGATGCTATAAAGCGAGCGACGGGGATTTCGATCTTTGTCGAGGCGTGTGACTTCCTCACCCGCGGTGACCGAAAGGCATTGGTTGGTTGCCCCAAATGTGGGTGCGAGCGGTGTAAACGGAGGTTTCTCGTGAAGAAGGCGGGAATTACCAATACCAAGAGCGGAGACCCTAATTGTAGTGTTTCCGACAACGGCGGTGATGATGCCAAAAGTCGACGTTCAGGCCCGGCGGAAATACGGCCCAAGATTAAGCCAGTGCCATCTAAAGCGCCGGAGGTATGTGTCAAAGCCTAAGTCGAAGCCTCTGTGACTTTTTTACTGACCTGGGCTTTTAGGCGTGGCGGGTGTATGTAGACGACCAGGGTAACGAGTGCGCAAAACCCAGGAGTCGGCGGATTGACGCAGATGAGTTTTCGTCTCACCTTGAAGCCTCGTTATCGGTCCCCCAAAATCCCTCAAGTACATCTAGCCGAGCTCCAACTGATAGCGATGAGGAGGCACATATCTCCTAGAGCTCACTGGAGGGAAACGAAACGCCGCTATTTCATGAGCCTATCTCCACGATTGCTGGCCGATCTGGGTACTTCAAGACGCCTTCACGACAAGCATCCATGGAGGCCAGACCAAACCTTGCGCGATTCCTCTACAAGGGCCGCAACCCATCCGCTCTTATTAGACAAGCACCGTCGTATCAGGCAAGCGGCCCTAACCCACCACGGTTAGCGAAAAAGCCGGCCAGCGAGAAGAGGGCCGGGGCAAAGAGCTCGGGGGGGAGAAAAAGGGTAGGGCTGCTAGGACGCAAGCCAGAGCCTCGGGGTCATCCCATCGCCAATGTTAACGTTCCAGGGCGTGGTAGACAACGGCGGATCCTTCCAGAAGCAACAGCCCGGCTTCGGAAAGGCACCAGACGCCGTCGCAGCCGTTACAGCTGTCGTTTGTGCCTCCTCCAGGTGTAATCGAAGACTCGATGTCCGACAACGATTACATGTTGGCCGGGTTTGTACGCCAACAAGTGGAGGCTCTTGGAACACTACACCAGCACGCTGGACAGTTCGCAAGACTCGCCAGGAAGTTCACGCCAGGGGACTCCCGGCGAGTCTTGCGAACTGTCCAGCGCGCTGGTGTAGTGTTCTAGGAACCTCGTCGGCGTACAAAACCCGGCCAACATAGATGCACAAACGACGGCCGCGATGGCCAATGTTGTCGTTCCGGAGCGTTAGAAACCAGTTGGTCGGTGGCGATGAAGATACATACGACATTTGCATGGAATGTTATGCCATGGGCCGCTCCTACTTCTGTGTCTCGAACCTCAGCTGGTGTGAGCAATGGCGTTGGTCTGAGCTCGTCGACCGTTACGAGACGTGGCGGGCGCTCATCATCAAGAACGACGGGTTCATCAACTTTGACACCTCTCCTCTTTGTGTCTTTGCATTGTGGCTGGGAGTGATGCCAAAGGAAAACCAGCGCGGGTCGAACACGACCCCATCAGGGGTCCGGTAATCGATAACATCCTCGGTAGCGGTATAGAAACGGGCAAGGTCAAAGTTTGGGTCAGCCATGGCGTAACTCCCGAGGTAACCTGCATACAGAGGCGAGTCTTTTGGTGCTGATGGGGTATCCAACCTGGCCAGCGGCGGCTCTGTCAGCACTGCGATTTTTAGCCGAAGAACAGCCGCCGGCGCCTGGATTTGAGCCTCCAACTGCACGAGACCCTCGACGACGAAGCATTGCCTGAGCCCGAGATGTATGTCGAGGACCGCATGCTTGGCTACGGCGGGAATGGCACGTCAGCGAATTCTACGCTGTCCGGGATTGGGCTCGCTATACCGGCAAGCGAGTGGCCCTTAAACCAAATCTTACATATGAGATTGGCATGCCGGATGGCGGCTCCAGCTGCAGGCATCCCAACCAAGTCTCAGCCGAGTTATGGATCACACTCCAGTGCTCCGCGCGCGCAAGGGGAATGCTGACCTCCCTCTGCCAACCTCCCTCTCGTATACGGCGACACCATTCCAACCGAGCACGCCGTAACACCACACCGACACTCCAACCCCCTCGGGGTATAAAGCCTGCAAGACGAGGCACAGGGCGTTGAGGGCGTGCTTTTTCTTCTCGGGTGTGATTTCGACCTTGGGAACTTCGACATACTGCATCAAAAGCGAGCCCGGCCCCGTTTTCGGTGCCGTCTTCGATGGGCCACCTTTTGAGTAGCAGCCAGTTGTCCTAGAGGACTCGGAGGGAGGAGGTTCTCCATTAAGCATCCATATCCTAATGTCCCCTTCTACTTGGTGTATGCACTTGGTGTGCGTGCACATCGGGCTCCACTCCCGGACCGGGTCCGGAGCGGAGCCCGAACCGGAACCGGCCCGCCCCACTTGGGCGTGACGATCCCTCCCGCGGGGCCTGTCTCGGAAGAGGGCCAACTCGGCCACGCTCCCCCGAGGCCACCGGTCATGATCCATCACCAATGCTCATGGCTAGGGCCTTGGCGGAGGCATGGCCCTAGGCCTGAGCCATTGACAACATCAAGGAAATTTGCCCTATACACTGTCTCAGGGCGCAGGGTGCGTGTGGAGGGGATATACGCGTTGTGGATACCAAAGTGTAGACTGGCGGTTATGAACCGCTAAATCCCGTGATAGTTTTGATCAGGATAATTAGATCTCAATTGCCGTCAACACTTTGCTTTAATTGCCTGCTCCTTGTGTTCAGATCATTTCGACCAGAGCAGTGGCGGTTACCCCGCTTCCAACGCCGACCTGAAAACCCACTTGGCCAGAAATCCGGCTTATTCCGTTGCCTGTTGACATAAACGTGCGGGGTAAGGATATTTTTCTCCAACCATCCAGCGACAATACTTTTCGCCTCTATGAACATAACCTCAAAGAGATTCCCAACCGCCTAGCCGCTTCCCCCTGTTCAACGACCATGGAGTTACCAAAGTCGAGAATACTCTCCATCCCAGAAGAGATTCGACAGCTTATTCTATCTTTCCTCACTCCTACAAGCCTCAAACAAACCCGTCTAGCGTGCTCCAGTCTCAGCCGCTCGGCAGAACCGATCTTGTTTTCCGCTATTACCTGCCACGATTCTCCTGATATTATTCAAACCCTGACGAGACGCGGCGTCTGGAAACATGTCAAGCAAATGTCTGCCAGCTGGTCAGAAGCGCGAGACTTTGACCAGCTTACGCAACAATTAAAAGCAGCGGGCTTACGCGCCATCTCTATCAAAATAGAGTATACAACTTGCACCTGTTGCCAACGTCCAATAACCACCGGATGGTTCGACTACGACATGACAATTTTTTGGGCGGTTCTAACAGCGATGCCTTCTAATGGGCGTTTAGAACGACTGGCTATATCGTCGAGATTATACGACTTCTTTGTACCATCGATAATTCCGTCGCTGGTACCGCTTGTTCGCTCAAAGGTGGAAAATCTCAAACAACTCGTTATCTCCTGTCCGAATGGCAGAAAAGAGGAGATATCCGGTTTGCTAGCACTCTGTCCCAACCTGGAAGTACTCTACCTTTACATCGAAAACTTCAAGCTTCTCGGCGAGGTTTCCTTGACGAGCCTAAGGGAGCTCAAGGTTAAGGTCCGTTCTGGGGAGGGTTTGGAGGTGTTTCTACAACGGCATCACGCCCTTCAACGCGCAATGATAGCGGTTGTCCATTGGCATCGGATGAAACAGATCCCCAGCAGCATTAGGCACAATATCGAAATTTATGCCGCCACCACTGGACATGATCCTTGGAATGTATAATGACAGGCACGCAGGGGAACAGGGAGGATGCAGAAACAGAGGGGAAATGGAGGGCTTGCAAAAGGTTGGAAAGCAGTACGCCATACACATTCTCTTTGCTTTCACACATTGTCGATTTCAATGGCTGATCCCTTGGGCAGATGCTTCAGTTTTACGAGCGGCATGTGAAGGTGGTAAGGAGGGATCCGGGCACAGTTACCCCGGAGTAACGAAGCCGACCGTGGTTGGTTCAATGAGTCACTTCAGGTCGGAAAGGGGGAGTATGTATGGGTGAGCGGAAACCCTCACCGGAAGCCGGCGTTTCTGGGGCCGCCGTCGGTTCTTCTATTTTAAGATGAAATAGTGATAGTTAGTTCGATCTAGGTTCGTTTTTACCAGCTGGCTATCAAAATCAAAAACACCGTTACACAGTGAGCATCAGAACAGAGAGCTGGTCGTGCTGTCGCTTTTGAACAACTCACGCCGCCTTCTCAACCAACCCAACGGCCGCTGCGCCGGACTCTACCAGCAAGACGACTCCCGAGACCGCTCAGAGGCGCGAACAAACCCTGCGCTCGATTTAACCGCCCTCGGCTCAGAGCGAGTTGTTGGCGGCGCCGTCAGACGCACCAGTGGAGGTGAAGATCGAATCCGAAGAAGGTCTGTAGTGCGCAGCAGTCGTTGGTGCAGAAGCGGGAGCTGTGTGTGGTTACGCTTGTGTCCAGTGGCGAGGGCGGTGATGGGGGGGTTGAGGGAATGAAGATGTAGACAATGGCATTTCACCAAGGCAAGGTCGGCGGCGAGAGGCTTGAAGGTTGGCACGTTGTATGGTCGGTGCGCAGAGGCTGTGCCGACGGCGAAAGCATTGAAACGATACGGTGGTGTTGCCTACGAATTTCCTTTTAGTGAGTTTCTTCTCCCCTTATACTTGTGGCCTCGAACACGGTTTGGGCCCAACACATCCAGAACGGAGATTAACATGGTGGCCTAAATGGACGCCCTGAGGCAGTCGCTGCTTCACAACGAGCAAGTCTCCTGAAAGGACTACAGGCCGCAGACACTCCAGGAAAGGTTGCTTTCTTATACACGACAATGCTAGGTTGAAGTTTTGTTCAACATACAAACTAATCATAGTCACAATAAATTGTCTTGTGACCACTGCGTCAAATGGGAAGCAACATACCTTCTGTGGGCATCTCTGGTAGATCACACTGGCTGAGTGTTGTGTCTTTTGTCCGTTCTTCCAGGTCAAGTACACCGTCAATCTCCCCGAATCCTCGTCCTCGCACGCGTAGAGGCTCACGATATGGTCTTCCCAGCTCCCTGGTGGCGGTTTCCACGTCACTGCCTTTGCGCTCGCGGGCGGCTCGGAGTCTGCTGGATGGTCCCGTCTTGACCGTTTCCCGGCCGCCTGGGGTGTCGCTGATGCTGGTCGGCCGCGCTTCTTGGTCTTGAGCGCCGCGGCGGTGTCTTCGAGGAGTTTATCCCGGCCGCCGATGCTTAGTAGGTAGTCGTTCAGTGAGTCTGATGCGTTTTCGCTGGAGACCTGGGTTAGCCACGCAAAACACGGAACCTAGGTTCCATTGGAGCTGGCGCGAAGGAAGTTTGGTAAAAAGCCGATCGCGCAGATCTGCCAGGAGCAACTCCGGAAGCGCCCGTGGAATGATATTGCCCAGGTGAAACCGGCACCCGAACCCGTCGAATCCGATGTCGAGGTCGATGACAACGGCCACCCGGTGAAAAAAGAAGAGGAAGAGAAAGGCGACGGGAAGAAGGGCGACGCCCACCGGTGCCACGTCTGTTCACACACACACAAGGACTACCACTATGCCTGCGGCAACCACGTTTGGGTATGGAAAAGGCTAGCGGAGGTTGAGAAACTAAAGCAAGATGGCGACGAGAAGTGGAAATCCGTCCTCAAAAAGCATTGCAACCTAGGTTCTTCCGATAGAAAATACACAGTTGATATGCAGGTGATGCGTCTTCGATGCCCGTGCCTGAGATGCTACCCAGGGCGGGCGCCATTCGGAGTTACATAGAACGGAGGCTAGAGCTCGAAAGATATTGTTCCTCACTTCGAGCCGAACTATCATGGTAAGTGTTCTTCTTTTTATATCCTACTGAATAACGACTTACGAAATGAAATAGGTACCCCTTTCGATCTTCAAATATAACCCTTTGGCCGTGGAATTCCACCTAGATGGTTATACGGAGGTTGAAGATCTTGCTCTATCGCCTGAAGACCGGGGAGAGGCAGTTTCTTCTGCACCCTACCCGGAGAGTGTCCAGGGACGGCCGGCAGGAGCAAACGGGCAAATTTACAGCGACGAGTGTGCGCAGAGAGAGCAAGAGAAGACACAGGCTGGAGAGGGAGCTAAGGTCAGCTGCATTTAAGGAGAGAACGGCCTAAGATAATATATGGGTATTGGGCAGTCTGGTAAGGTTTATGAGAAAAGAAGCGTCCCGTAGTAGGGGCTATATGCTGCTAAATTTACATTATTCTGCACTCTTATCTTATAGCGGACAGTTTAGGCTGGTTCTCCTCGTTCTATCGATTCTAAAATGCAGGCGAGGAATTGGAGGAGGGTGGATAGAGTCACGAATTCTAAGATATGTTATACTGAGAGTGGCCTTCTTGACTGAATAAACGAGAAGTCAATTCCTACTTCCAAGTCTCTGTCTTTCTAGATTCAATTGTTTTTGGCGTTTTAAGCTGCCCCACATCTAGTGGTCGGAATCCGAACGCCACAGGTGGGGCTTGGGGGAGGCAACGGAGACGCGGATTCGCGCCTGCCGGGAAACGGTTCCCTTAGCCTCGACCTGGCACGACAGGCTCAGATGACTGGAGCATGGATCAAGTCGTTTTATCACCCACCATGAGGTCAACTAGGCAGATTTGGCCGTAGTGGGCGTGGGGAGATGACGAATATACGGCGGGGCCGCTCTGGCCGTTATGGTGTTAACGGAGGACTAGTAGTAAAAGCTGGTAGCAATTGCACAGAGTCCAGCTTGTCATCGAAGAGCAAAGCCCCGGTGTATATCTGGGTATGTGTATTGAAAGCAAGGGGTATGAGTGTAGTTCGCAGATAACACGCAGGTGTATGATATTCTCAATGGTTGTCGATGGAGTTTTCACAAAATCCGCCAGCGCCATCTCCAAATGGTAGTAAGCCTATTCCCACAACCTCAACGCGAAGACCCCCCAATTAAGGCTAACAAGAGAGGAGGTGTGAGGAACTGGCCCTATGGCTCATGCAGCCTTGTTCCTCCTGCTCATCCCGCGGCCTCGATTCCTGCGAGGTCTCTGTAGCCGACTCATCCCGCTGCGCCGAGTGCGTTCGACTCAAACTCCCGAGCTGCGACGTTCTTGGCGTCTCCCCCTCGCAGCTTCGAAACATCGCGACTCAGCACCAAAAATTGGAAGACGAACTTATGGCTGCGGAGGAACGAGTCCTTCGATTACGAAAACAAAAACGAGCGTGGTTCGAGAAAATGATGCGAGCCGTGTCGAGAGGCATCGACTCGGTGGAGGAGCTGGAGATTATCGAGCGGGAGGAGGCGGAGGCCGCTGCTGTCGCCAGAGCCTCCGAGGGTCCAGGGTCGGCCCTACATGGCCCATCCCCTCAAGATACCAATGCTCCTTCCCTTACTGACCCTTTCCTTCTTAAGTGAGTGTTTTTCCTATTGTTCCTCAACAAATGAAATGGTTGCGTGGCGTAGGGGTAGCGCGTGCGCTACTGGTACATCGTTCGCATGGACATTGGTCCATGCGGGTGATGTGTGTGCGCTAGGTCGTGGGTTCGATTCCCACCGTAACCTTGTTTTTTTTTTTTTTCTCTTTCTCTGACCGTCGTTCTCCTAGTCCTTCTTCGGCTTCCTTCGATGACGGCGGTTTTGAAACGAAAAAAAGAAAAAGAGAAAGGGAGCAACGAGAATCCTCCTAAAAATGAATCCGGGAATCATGTATCAATCCCGCTCAATTCACATGCACCCCCTGAGCAACAGCCAACGACTTCTTCCCCCTTTCCGCCCCTTCTCGTCGCGGAACGCACCCCGTCTCCCTCACTAACCCATACCGCATCCGACCATCCCGACACCCCAACTTCGGACACCGCTGCCGATGCTCCAACTCGACAAAATGCCTCTGCAACCTCACATACGACGATGCCATTCCCACCGAGCACGCCGTCATACTACACCGGCATTCTAGTCCACCCTCCCCTCCTGAGAAAGAATCCTCGCCAGAATGCAGTGGGCACTCCTCTTTCGCAAACGGGTCGGCGCCGTACTCCAACAACACCATCACCGTCTCTGTCAACCTACCAGGCGCACCACTGGCATCGTCGGGATCCTCGTCTGTCCACGCCCGGAGGATGTGGTTGGTAAGGATCATGTACAACAAACTTGACGACTCCTGTAGCCCGTCACTGCCTCCCCGTCGTCGTCGGTTGGGATCAGCCCCGCGTTGTAACAACCGACGTACCACGCCCGGGCGCAAGAATAGCGCGGCTTGTTCTAGCGCGGTGTACTCCACGCCAAACACCTCCGACACCACCTGATCGGGAGGCGTAGACGACGGCCCGAGCCACTCGACCAAATCCTCCGCGATGGCGTCATGCCCCTCGGTGATCGCCACCGACAACGGGGTTTTAGGCGCCGCATCAGCCCACGCATGATCAGGTACCAAATAGCAACACGCGCCCTCCACCGGCGCAGCGACATCCGCGCCGTGGTCTAACAGCAGCCGAGCCATCTCTCGCCGGCCACGGACGACAGCTGTCGCGAGCGGTAAGGTATACCCGTAAAAGTCCTGGATATCAGGCGCCATGTTGATTCGGGCATTAATATTGATTATGCCGCCGGCGGTGAGGAAGCGGGTGAGGGAGGAGGGGACGCCGGAGCGGATGCAGCGAATTAGGCCGGAGGAGTTGTGGTGGGTGGCATCGTGTTGGTAGAGGCGTTTCCAGAGAAGGGTGTGCAGGTAGCGGGCGGAGGCGGCGGCAGCGGCGAGGGTGGGGAGGTCGAGGAAGTGAGCAATGTGGAGGATTAGTTCTGGAGGAAGGGCTCCGAGGGTCTGGGGCATGGTGATGATGACAATTTTAGTGTTGATGAAAGGGGTGGTGGTTTTGATGTTGATGACATCTGTTTGTTACAATACAACGGAGGAAGAAGGCATATAACGGCTTATATATACCATCCTTTGGTGCCTGCCTATAGCGTACTCGGGCTATTTAATTGAGACTTAATCGGCTCTTTGTTGCAGTATGGGCCGGTCGGCGGCTACGGACGGTTGCGGGCTTGGAAACCCGGCTGGGGAGGGCCGGTGACAAAGGAGCTGTTGCGATTGGCTGTGGAATTTGGCGCCTACCTTGTTGTCACATTGGTTTGTTGCGTGTCCGAGTCCCTTTCTTTGTCACACTTTTTTGCGTCTGAGCGAGTTCCGCGCCCACTGTACTGAGATGGTTGCCCATATGATGACACAAATGAGGAGGCTTCCCTAGCCTGTTTTTTAAAGCGTATTTGTTAGCTCTATTACGGCACAGTCACTCAAATTTGGGGTGGGGTTCTCCAATGCCTGTAAAGAAATGCGCCTATTTCTCTGAAATCGGGGTAGAGAATGTATCCTATCTTCTCTGCAATGTGGAAAAGGTCGTCTGAGCAGTTATAACGTCCAAGCATTCTCGAATGGAGAATAATAACTGGGAATTGTCGGGAAGTGTAAAGGAATGGAACGAGGGCTAAAAGTGGCTCGTAATAGTTGTGTTGTCAAATAAACGATGAGCAAGCTCTTTCGAAGGTTGAGGGGTCTATTCCAAGTTAATATACAGCAATGGGGTGGCTCTTTGATATTGCTATAGCTGGGAATCTGTCGTGCTAAGTTGTCAGGGAGCACGAAGACATCGGCCTGATGGCAAGTCTGGGTGACGGCATACAGGAAGGTCTGAGAGAGGGCACACAGGAGGGCCAGAGCGAAGGCACCACGTTATCATTGCGAGAGTAGGGGGCACGGGCAGAGGACGTGCATTGCAGCGATACGCTGGGACGAACTCGTGATACGCTAGGACGAACTCCCAGGGATGCACACGCATGTTGGAGCATAATGAAGGAGTAGATATGATAGCACGATTACGAGGCGATTGCGCATGGGCATCTGTGGATGCAGCTTTGACCGAGCGAAGGAGGTCAAGGCAGGAGGAAGGAAAAGCATCAGTAGGAGTGCCTCGCTGCCAAGGGAGAAGATTGGGGGGTTCAGAGTTCAATTCCATCACTGTATTGACCTCAGGATATCACTGCGAATTCACTGTGACTCCCTTGTACTCTCCTCACTCTTAGTATCAACCCCTGAGTCTCTCCTGATTCTCACATAAGTGCCCTGTGGCGGGGAATCAAGGTGGAAAGAGCATGTTATTAATCACCGTTTTAAAGTACAAAGTAGATGTGTATTGCTGGGACTATATAGAAGATATTCCTTAACATATAGTACCAGCAAAGGTTTAATTTATACCTTGCCATAGTTAAAGAACCGCTTTAGTATACTTTACTTGAACTTAGGGAGAAAGCAACCATTATTTGCATCTACTTTTATATACTTATGATAGAGGTACTCCTACTAACTAATCTTGGTGTAGGTGGTAGATCGTCACTGTTGGTTCGTCATTCCACTCACACTCCAGGCTTTTCATCTGATTGGTAGGGATGGCTTAGGATGACGTGCGGTTGGGTGTGCAGTTACAACCGGATTGTAATCCAGCATACACACCTCCTAAAAACCTTTGGTATTTATACAGCTTTCCATGCCTTTCGGGATCTCGAGTCTCCTAAACACTTTCCTTCATTCTCGCCTTGCATCACGCTTGGTCGACCTTGACCACTGAAAGTCGCCTGTGATCGTGCGGATTACCTTGTCTGGGAGACCGGAGGTATTGAAGCATCGTGAGCAACCGACATCAGTGCGACGGAGTTCCCAAATGTGTGCCGAAGATATTGCAACACGCCATCTCGGGATAATGGGGACAAATCTTCGAATCGCTACTACCGCTTTTACGCCGCTCTCTATGCTGCAGCATATACTGGAACTTAGCCATTGCAAATACAACGTGACTACGGTTTTGTGTTTCAACCAAGCCATCGTCGTCGCTGGTATCGTCGTCGTCACAATGGCGCCATCATCAGAAACACATAGGACGGTGTTGCCGACACTCGCACCAGCAGCAGCAGCACCATCACAGGCACTGGGACTGGCCCGTTTGGCATCACCAGCATTATCATCCACACCTCCCGTCCTCGCACCAGCGCCCCGCCGCCCAGCCACACCAGTGACAATGACATCTGAAACACCATTCACTTCCGCCACAGCAGCAATGGTCGTAGCTACCGCGGCTGCTGCTATGGTCTACCTGGAAGATAAACCAACCACCGCCACTACACCTGACGACGACCCCTCGCCGGCTACAGAGCGCAACTATTTCGCCGAAATGGCGTGCATTCACGCAACAATTTGTCGGTCCAGTCGAATACATGGTCGTATTCGAAGTCCTCCGCTCGGAACCGGCGACGGAAAAGCCAGCAAAGGTACGAGTAGTCCGGCTTGTCATCGAAAGCCAGGCCTCGAGCGTAGTTCACGTACGTGGCAAATTCTCCAGGGAGAAAGCCATCGCAAAGCGCCTCGGCCGACAGGCTCTCCTTCATCTCCTTGATCCTTGTGTCCTTCTCGTCGTCCGTGGCGACCTTCAGACCTTGCCATGCCAACGAGCCCCGGGCAAGGTACACGAAAACGTACCCAAGGGACTCGAGGCCATCCCCCCAAGACTGCTCTTCGTGCGCGTTAGCGAGCGGACAATCAGCATCGCGGTGGGAAGTGCCGAATAGATGTAGGAGACGATGTTGTTCGCAAAGTATAACAGCGTTAACCTATACTCGGGAGAGGCGACAGCCTCGGGGGGCAGTGACGTCTGGGCATGTTTTCGAAGCTCAACCACGATCTCGTCCTTGGCCGAGCGGTGCAGCTCCAAAATGCGCAGCTCCCCGCCGCGGGTGTAGCAAAGCACGCCGTTTTCATACACCCACTCGTGGCAAAATGCGACAACGGCCGCCGAGTAAGGTGAAACGGATGCAATGGCGTCTCTGCGCTTGATCAAACGACGAAGGTTCCCCGCATAGTCCCCAGAAGCTCTAGCATCACGGGCTTCAATACTGTGAGGGGCGTGGGCCTAGGCGGCGTCAGTTAATAATCGCAGGACTTGAGTTTTGCATTGAATCCGGGGACTCACCTTGAGAAGCCTCTTTGCTAGCCTTAAGTCTTGAACCACAAACCGAAGCTCCCTCCAGTCTCTTGGAGTACCGACAGACTGGTTCACTAAACTAGTGGTGGGGCAGCAGGCCCCCGGTAAAATCACAGCGTCAAAGTTCCCTCGTCCCTCGTCTTCCGGCACCCCTCGGCCGTTTTCTTCTTTGGTTCTACCCCCGGTCCCCGGGCCGATAACAGTTGTTCACCTTCTACCGCTGTTGCTATCCCTCGCCTGTATCTACCGTCCTTATCCTAACTGTCCCGCCGCCCTCATCCTTTATCTGTTCCGCCACCAAGCAGATTCTTCTCAACCCAGTCCAAACTGACATCGGTAAGGTCCATGAGAAGCCGACGTAATCCCTCTTGGCCTGACGCGTGTTCCAACGTCCAAAGGCAGCCCTGCCGATATGCTTCGATCCAGTTCTGAGCCCAGTTCATCTCATTATTATCAAACCCCGAAAACATCTCACGTAACCAACGTTGTCGTCTGGCGTCGTCTGGAGTCCAGGGGCAGTTCTGTAGATGGTCTTCA